GATCTGATTGCACACGGAAATAAATAATGTTACATAAAAAATTAAGTATGATTTGCACACAAAAAAAGTAAGTATGATTTGCACAACCACGCCCGTCCTCCTCTCTGTCTCTACATGATGGCATTTTCACTAGTGAAGTATGATTTGCAAAAAGAAAAGTCCAAGTGTTTACCATCTTGCTCTTCCCTCTGATGACTGCCGAGTGAGTGACGGTGCTGACATAGTATGGTATGGGAGGTTGGCACTGCGTTACTATGGATTTGAGACAGTCCCACCGATCCTCGTTTAGCGATACACGGTTGTCGTAGAAGATGCGATCCTCGAAAGTTCCTTTTCTCACAATGTATCCTGGACCTGTATAAATTTTTTTGAAGATGACAGAGTAGTAAATAATTTCATACGTAAGATCTAGAACATCAGTAGTGGGTTAATGATCAATGCCTAGTCCAATGATCAAGAAATGAAGGACATAGATAACCCAATCACATCCACCCAACAATATCTCGTAGAAACATGGGCAAATTGAATATTTGATTTATTTAAACTAACAACTAAACACTCCTCTATGTAAGCTCTAGTTCAGTAAATGTTGATTTGGACGGTCATCTAGAACCCAAACAGAGTAATGTGTGGTAATCAAGTGTCACTCAAACATCAACTTTTGATATTTCACGGTTCATTTAATATCTGACCAGCCATATAGAACTTTACCCCGTAGTGCCAAGATAGGATCGTGGTCCACATCTCCATCTCCATCATTACTATCATCAGTGTCATAGTCGCTAGAGGTGTCATCATCACCGCTATAGCCGTCACTCCCACGTGAAGTGCCATCTGAAGCATCATCTGAGGTGGTCCGGTGATCACTCTCTTCACTGCTGATGAGGATGGTTTCCCTTGCCATTCAAACCTGTTGCATGCATTGCAATGAAAAAATGTTAGTTATTGATATATGAAATCAGACTTCCATTAGGAATTGTTAGCACCATATACAATGTGAATAATATTTTCGCATACTTATCGCTAAGTACGTAGTTCATGTGTAAACATCTACATGAAAAAGCTAATCGACAACTATTCGCATGACTAGTCAAGAGAAGTGGTTAGACTCATAATCATTGGGCAGACATAACCAATTAGGATATTTCAAGGTTACAATTTTGTGAGCTGGACAAGAAAACTTGGTAACCAACCAATTAGTAGCCATGTACAAATGAACCATGATTGACTGGTCTCATCGAGCAATACGTGAAACAATAACTGATCTGCCTTTGATCACTACAAATTTCCCGATGGGCTGTTGTGTGGTACCATCAGGTAATAAACATAAAGTCTTTAAATTGTCCCAACAAAACAAATAATGCATTTGCTGCTGTACATACCATTTTTAGAGGTAGCTGTGGAGGTTAATTTTCCAATTTCCAGTGAGAATAAGGACATGATAGAATCTCTCAAGCAAGATGACAGCATAGTGAAGGCTATGAGAACGAGCAAGGTATGCTGACCAATAGTCACCCGTTTGTATACTTGCTATTTATTTAATCATTACTACCCATACCAACAAGTAAAATCATGATTATGAAGTATAATGGCAGAAAATCCAATAGTGAGGAATTTGTTGCAATGTGAACTATTAGCTCACAGCAAATTTTCATTGACCCCAACAAGCCCATACCATATCTTGGAGATCGGCTGACATAATTCAAGTAAGCAGTAACAACAATCAACAAAAATATGCACCAACCAAAAATATTAAATGTGTACACATATCATCAAAAACATGCACCAATCAAGAGCAGTCTATTCTTGACAAATCCTTCAAAATATGCACTAATCATCATACTACCATCGAGTAATAGATGAAACTATAACTGATCCTCATTCCATCATTAGAAATTCCTCATGGACTGCTTCTGTGCTGGCCTTTTTAGATTTTAATAACTAAGCATCAACAAATACATATACACAGTCTTCAAACTATCCCAACAAACCAAAACATGTGTATGCTCATGTGAATATACTTTTTCTATATCTAGTAGTGGGGGGTCATTTTCCAGGAGGAAAAACTACTTGATAGCATCTGTCAAGCAAGATGACCTACTAGTTGACAGTAAATCTGCGAATACCCGAAATATGCACACAAGCAAGTGTCAGATCGACATTCGAAGGGCAGGGAAGATCAATCTTACCTACGAAGTGGGCTGGAGTGGACTTGTTTGAAGCTGGCTCCGGTCACCACCGGAGCTTCGGGCGGCGCGACCAGGATTGGGGATGAAAAGTTGCGGTGGAGGATCGTGGACGGAGTAGGGGGGAGTGGAGGATCATGGCCGGAGCAGGGGGGAGTGGGTGGCCTCGTAGATCCGGCGGATTTGACGACGACGGGGGCGGCCAAGGTGAGGGCTTGGCAAACCCTAGCCGTCGCCCTCCCCGTCGCCTCTCTGTCTCTTCAAAGAACAAAGTGGAACGAAGTGGGGTGGGATTGGGATGGGGTTGGGGTTGGGGCCATCGCCCACTTTTTTCTCTGCCTCCCACTTGTACAGGCCCACAAAAGGAACAAAGTGTTGGGCCGGATCAGATGCAGATTTGGCAGCTTTACCAATTCTGGCCAAATAGAAAAGATCAGCATGACCACAGGTATTCTTTTGAAGAAACCCTAAAAATACATTGCTGTTCATATTGCACGTGGATGAGTCTTTCAGTACACCAACTGATCTTGAATAATTTTAAGCATTCCACAGTATATATATATGAAAATAATGGTTAACCAATAAAATGGTAAACTATTAGATGCAAGGTTACAAATATTTGAAAAAATCAATAATTGAATTGTATGCATTTTTATGATTAAATTTAATAAATGTAACATTTCTGCAAAAACTATGATAATTAAAATATTCATTGGTATTTTCAAAAAAAACAACCGCAAATGACTACTTATGCCAACCAGAACTTCTTCAGGGTTACGTTTATTCATCTATTCTTTGGCATGCTGGTTCTCATAGCGCCTTCTTCAGACCTTCTCTTTGTCCGACAAATTCCTGAGATATTGGGCTAGCGCCTTGTGTTTCGCCCTCACACCATGCTTCATTTGGTATCCTTTGGCAACTCCTTCGCCGTGCTCAAGAATACTAACGAAAGCCGGGTCCAGATATTTGCCACAGAACGCGCAACGATACGCCATACGCTTAAGCACGTTGCACTGTCCATTCTGCAATTCTTCAAGGGTTTTCTGAGTGTGTACATCCATCTCTCCTTCGAAAATGTCCGCACAATCATGAGAATAAGGCTGCAAGTTAAAATTATGTATGATATAAGCCGCACCATTGTTTACATTACCTAATATTCCCTAAGTTTCATACTGTAGTGCCTATAAATTATTTTTAAAGTTAATATTTATTAACTTTGAAAAATTAAGGAGAAAAAGGCAATATCAAATCCATATGAAATCATAAATCATATGTTATAGTTTTAAAAAAAATTGTCAATAAACATGCACAACCTTTATGATGTCTGACTTTTGGCATAAAACCAAAACACACTAAATTGTGGAGTGGATGAACCATTAATTTCTCAAAGATTGATTGAATAAATAATGATCATTACGTATTGAAGATCAACATTATATTTAGGGCATTGATGGTTTAATGATTAACCTCTAACCTTAAACTTGAAGACAGATCTACAGTTAAAAAATTAAAATTACCGTAACGGAATTCCAGTCCATGCCGTGCATGTGCTGCTGCTTGTGATCGACGACGGAGTACTGCACCTCATTGACACGATGCTTCTCTGGATCGGACATCGAGTAGTCCAAAGCTTTCTCGTGGGGATCCTGATCCATAAGATGGACGACGACGTCGGTGGTTAGCCCCGCAAGTCCATGATCTGTCATGACGCCGTCCATGAGAGTCCCCTCACGTCCATGGCCACGATCTGTCACGACGGCCAATCAACCTTGACGAGTGGATTTCATATCTGGCGGCAGGGAGGCGGGCGTGTGAGCGGCGGCGATGGTTTTAGAGCGTAACCTAGGGGGAGAGATGCAGGGAGTAATTGGTAGTTACCTACTATGGCGGAAATACTTATGAGAAAAATTGATTGGTCGGCGTTGGGCACCTTCAATGCAGCGGCGCTTATTTAGGCGCTTAATTAGGATCCTGGAAAGAAAACACAAGCGTAGGCGCTTGGGGCAGGACCTAGGAACTGGATTTTGTACATCTATGTGATGCAATCCAAAGATCGTGTCTGGGGTGGATGGGTCGGGGATTGAAAATTGTGTACATAAACCCTAGTGCTCAAGACTTGTGAAAACATCAAATGAAATTGTCATCAAGTGATCTAGTATTACTTGGATCGAGACTTTGTGATCATCATGTAGCCACGCCACAACACGATGGTTCTAGTATTACTTGGATCAACACCTTAGGCAGCAAACTAGTGCATTTCATTTTTGAGTCACCATCCTCCTTCTTGAAAACCACATGTACACACTCATCATGTATACCATAACACATCAAAATCTGTTAACTAGAGCTCACAAGCTTAACTAGCTTCAAACGAACCTAGCCAATCAGGGTTTTATGCTACTAAATCTAAATGAGCCGATGAGTAATGAGCACGAGTTTAACAAGCAGAGATGCCAAACCACACACCAATTAACATAGTTCTACCTTAGTTCAACGCTTCCATGCATATATATATATACACAAAAGCAAGCACCACTTAGTAGTACTGGTGCACATAGTTCAACCATAAACGTTCACCAACGAAGTATAGCATACGGTAGTACTTAGCATAGTTACAACCAAAACAGCATCAGTTCTAGCTGTGAGGGTGCGCACTTCCCTAAATCCTCAAAGAAGCCTAATCAAGTAGTCGGCATACGCGGCGTGCTTCACCCTGAAAGCGTAGCCATTCTTGGTGCTGCCTTGGGATGTTCCGATTGCATGGTTGATGGTACTCGACAGGTCGCCTTTCATCACCTTGTTGCAGAAAGGGCATCAGTAGCCCTTTCCGAATCTAGGCCTCACATCTTTCTCGAGCTCACCATTGTTCAACTGCCTCAATTTCTGCCTCCTAAAGATCCTCTGGGTTTCTGGGTCGCTATCAACGTCATCACTTAGGACCTACATGTAGTACAAAATATTGCGTAAGTATATTTAATATGATAATTCAGCAGGCACATAGTCTATGAAACATAATGTAATTGATGACAGCGTAAAATATCTTCAAATGGCGTTGAAAAATAAATGCATAACTTATTAGTTGCTACATAAGCAACTAAATGGGATAGTACCATATAGTAAAAAATGAAGGATCAACCATACATGTCGAAGAGAGCACTAGCATTGCCACATTTTGCCACACATTTTTCCCAAACTTGCCTAAGGTTAGTTCATCAAAATGAGAGCCACAAGTTGGCAAGCCTAAGGAACCTTGACACACTTATTGTGTGTATGCCATGTGGGACCCAAGTGTGGCTTGCCTAAGGTATGGCTGGAACCAAACACTCACTTAAGTTGGTCAAGCTTGCCTAACCTTAGGTATAACAAACTTTGGCAAAGTTAGTCACAAACCAAACAACCCTTTAGTGCAACAAAATTCACTTGTTACGTAAAAATGCATGAACTGATGATGTAACATGGCAGAGCAGCATACAGATGTACTAATGCAAAAAAAGACTTATAACTTACATGCATGACTAGATAAAATAGCTCGTGAGCTGTATTTATTTAGGGTTAGAATTTTGTGTGCTTATGATGATGGATATTGAAAGTCCCCATGTTATCATCATGGAAGTTTCCCTTGTTGATCGATACCCCACCCATCAATTTTCCTGAACCATTCAACGTTCTAGGTAAAGTAGTTAATTATTATGAATTCTGACAATAAGTGATCCTAAATGTTGTACTTACAAAAAAGGGTTTTAATCATTTATGCCACCAGTTGTGTCCCACAACTAAGTATCACCACTAGGAATTTCTACTGCTAAAAAAGCCATCGCTTCGTTAGACACATGCTCAAAAATGCCACTGCACATCATTATTGTGATATCAAATCTATCTTGACATGCTATAATGGCATCAATACCTATGGACCAACATGCTAGCTCTCCCATATCTCACTACAATAAAATGTGGGCCCACTTGATCCCAACAGCGTTCTTATTTTCCGGTAAAATTATTCGCTTACTTACTCCTCACAAGTGGGGCCACACTTATCATTGTGAGATAGAGAGAACTGAAATGTGGGCCTGGGCTTTTTTTGTCATATTAGTTGGTCAACAAGTTTTACATGAAAATAACAATGTCTAATGGCATTATTGAGCAAACATCTAACGGAACGATGGCATTTTTGATACATCTAATGGCATTTTTGAGTAAGCATCTCACGAACCGATGCCATTTTTGAGCGGTTGTAACTTCTAAGGGAAAAACTGAGTAGTGGGATACAACTGGTGGCATAAATGATAAAAACCCTACAAAAGAACTAATTAAAACAACTCAAGTAAAACATTGATGATATCCAATTTCTTTCTAAAATAGCCATTGCTTAGAGATAATCAATGTTTAAAATCATTGCCACAGCCACTTATGGAACATTTAAACCAAAGATTGATCAAGTGCAACCAAACATGTACTCAACATTTTAATAACTTATTTGCCTTGTACTGACCAGGGAAAACCTAGGATATTAAAAAATAAATAAATGAATAAATAACGGGGATAGATGTCTAACCTCTTCTTCGTTCTCGTCGGCGACGACCACAGGTGGGGGCAGGGGAGGCAACAACGGCGGCAGATGAACACCCGGTTGAGGCTGAGGAGCCACCACCTGCTCCGGCAGAGGATCCAGAGGAGCTACCTATTCTGGATTATTAGCAGAATAATTTATATAGGTCAAAAACTGACATATACATGCCTCAATAAATGTAATCTAGCTACACAGCTGCGGATCCAGGATTTCATACTTGGGTGTTCAAAAATATATATTGCAAACTAAAACCACAACAATATTTTTCAAATGGAGGGAGTAATATCTAAAATTTTCATGTGAAAAGATTCTTTGTCCATCGTAATGACAGTACTGATATGAATGATAGAAAATGAAGATTATTTACTTCATGACCATAGAATATGACATTTTCATAAACAAGGCATGGTGTTGTTATCCTTAAGTTGCAGAAAATATTTTCACAATCACCTACGTAGGCAATTCAATTCCACGGTCAAGCTACGTATTTGTATTAACGTATTTGTATTAGCACAGTCACCAAACCTAGCTAGGTGGATTTATTAGCAGAATAATTTATCTAGATCAAAATATTGCCTATACAGGGCTCAACACATGTAACCTAGCTAGTTACCTAACACATCTACAGAATATTGATATGGAGTCCATCTATCAAAGATAAAAAGAAACCCTGGACTTCCCCAAAAATAGATAAAAGGACTGACCAGAGCACACCTAGGCTTTTACAAAAAAATAAAGGAGATAGATGACTAACGTCTTCTTTGTTGACATCGCCGACGACCACACGCTCGGGCACAGGAGGCGTCACCCGTGGCAGAGGAGACACCTGCTCCTTCTGAGGAACCAGAGCAGCTACCTAGTCCCACATAAATAGCAGAATATTTTTATATAGATCAAAAAATTTCATATACATGCCTAAACTAATGCAACCTAGCAACACAGCTTCGGACCCAGGATTTCAAAGTTGGGTGTTCAAAAATTTATATTGCAAACCAAAACCACAACAATATTTTTCAAACGGCTGAGATCAAGTTGGCTTTTGAGTCCAGAAGGCATTCTTCTGCCTCTGCTTCTGTTACTCAAGAAATTAAAGAGTTAGGAGTAATATCTAAAATGTTCATGTGAAAATATTATTTTTCCATCATACTGACAGTACACACATGAATAACAGAAAATGAAGATTATTTACTATGACATTTTCGTAAAAAAGGCATGGTGTTGTTATCCTTTACTTGTAGAAAATATTATGCTTAAAATAAGCAAGCAAATAATATATTTCAAGTAGGGATGATAACAAGTCTAAAATATTACAGCCTATGGTAATTGGACTCCAGGAATGAAGCAATTGGTGTTGACCAAATTGAACGACAAAAAATGTGTCTGCTGGATTAAGCGTGAGAGGATAGTTTTATACAAATTGACATGAAGTTTAGTGCACAAACTACACCACTTTTAGTCCATTTAGCAATAAAAGAACCATATATAAGAAATTTTGGGCAGAAAATTTTTGGGTGGTTGGTAGATCTATCTTAAAATTTGGCATCAAAACATTTTGGATGCACGAGAGCCATGGATCGGAGTGGTTGGTAGATCTTAAAAACACATAACCTATACAATGAGGAGCCGACCCCCATACCCATGCGCCCATGTGGATCCGCCCTTGAAACCTACCAGATCTAACGAATCTAGGTACGGATTTCATAGATGGAAGAAAAGCAGAAACCCTAGCCATGCCCAGAAATAGATAAGGAACTGAACAAGGAAACTTAGGATATTTCCTAAAATAGGACTGACCTCTTCTTCGTCATCATCACCGTCAACGTTGACCATGGGCTGCGGCAGAGGAGGCAGATGGCGTGGCAGAGGAGGCAGATGAGTCACCTGCTCCGATGGAGGAGCTACCTGCTCCGGCGTAGGTGACACCTGCACCGGAGCCTGGACGTGGTCGACGACGTCAAGGACACCCTGCTGCCGGCTCGACACCTTGCCAGCGGGGAGGGGTTTCTCCATGTGCAGCTTTGCCCGGCGCTTGGATGCTTCTTGCGCCATGTCGTCGGCCCCGGCGTCGGCCCTCCCTCCCATGGTGCGCTTGGGCATGTTGACGGCGGAGGTGCAGCGGCGGGAAGGGAGCAGTGGCGGGATGGGCAGGCGAGTGGTGAGGCGTGGGAGGAGAAAACCCTCGTATTGGTGGATGGATAAGAGGACGGGAAGAGGTGGGCGGCGGTCAGATAAATGCTAATGGGGAAGCAGAGCGTGCTATGGGGAAGCGGAGCCACTGATTTATTCCTGGGCAGTCAAAAGGAGTTGTTGCCACGTTCACACCTCCCCGTGCGTTGTTCACACCACCACGACTTGGCACGTCAAAACGTAACTTCTCACATTTTTATGGGAAAATCACATCCTTTTGTTTTTCCTTCCAAAGATATGTGGCGAAAAAACATGGAACAAAAATTGTAGAAGGCATGGTGGGTTACGTGCACATGTTGTCTATTTGTACTACAAGCGCACTTGTTGGCAAGTTGCATGTGCACGTGACATGTTTCATTTTTTTATTGAAAATTATGTTGTACACCTTTACATAGAGGCTTGAATTATTGCTTTCGTATGTTAATAATTCCTAAATATTGAAATTCAGCATGCACGTAACACATGGTTTCCAAGCTTCGTCAGCGACCGCTTGGATTCGTCTGGTATATGCCCGTTGTCTCGTATTGGGCGGGGGAATGTGGCTCCATGCGATGCCATGCGTTTCATCTGGACCCATGTCATGCACCCCCAGCCAATTGGGCCGACATCATGTGCCGCTAGGCTTCTCGATCCTAACCATGCACTAGTGTCCACCATGGGTAGAGATGCTGAGGTGCACAGGTTTGCTGGCACTAGTGAATGACGTCGTATCTCGGTGTGCAATATGTGTAGTCGCATGTTGATTTGACATACCTGGCATGCCGAGGGAAGTGAATCGTATCGGAGGTCCAACGAACCGAGGTGGGGTCAATAATGGATGGATGGTGTGGGTGAACCTGGCAAACGATGCATGGTTTGAGTGAAGCTGGCTAGGTGTGCATGGCTGGGGGCTAGATGGCTAATGAGTGCGCATGCGTCTTGTGTACATTGTCAAGGTTGACCGGTGAGTGTCTACTTGGCCACATGTCCATGCATGGTGTGGGTCCAGTTGGCGTGCGGCGCATGGGACGATTCTTGGTTGCTAGGGTCCACATCTTGCAGCACAGAGTTCTGAAGCAGATGAAGGGGCAGGCCCCGCACACCGTTCATAGGCCAGACTCGTTTCCTCTCAATGGACAATGGCTCCGAGGCGGCCCTTCTCTTTTTGTGGAACATGGCCCATATATATGGACCAAAGAGCTTAGCATGTGATTGTTACCCCATTCACTGCTATGATTTCATGTGGCCGCGATATAGATCGTGAATTTCCGATGATACTACCCTAGAAATGCGGCAACTGTCCCGAATATGGCATGCGGGACCCAAGAAAGGCCGGGACCTAGCATGCGCATTTGGATTGTTCTCCGTTGACCCGAGAGAAAGCATCGATGAAAATGGAGGAACGGGCCCGCACTCAGTGCGCAAACCGGATGCGTTACCTCAAGGTAGCTAGATCCAAACCATGCACCCCCGCCGTCTAGACTCACGTGGCGCACCACTTACGTAGTAGACCCACACCACTTACACCGGCCCCCAAGCCAACCATTTCCCATGTAGACTCATATGCCGCACCCCGCAAAATAGCTTAGCACAAGACTTCCACCCCGATTTCGACAACATGCACCACTATAGGTAAGTGTCCAAAAAATGGACTATCGCATTATCAACATTTTTTTGCCAAAACAAGTAAGTTGTTTTTAAATTGCTTGAAAATAGCAAGCTTTCTGTTAAATTATAATTTCATTAATTACACATTATAACGTGCATTTTTTTGTCCCTCAAAAAGGGGTGCATTCCTTTTTTGTAAACCCACAACATTACTTCCTTTCCCTCGAAAAAAAGAATCCTTCTTCACCCTCTCACGATCACGTTCACGTTCACGGTGGCCCCGTCCTATAATCTAGGAGTGGTCGATCCAATCTCCCCACGGGGGACAACTTCCACGCACTATCTATCTTGGTTGGTTGCAACCATCTCGCCATCACGGTTTTTTATGGGAAAATCACATCCTTTTGTTTTTCCTTCCAAAGATATGTGGCAAAAAAACATGACAAAAATTGTAGAAGGCATGGTGGGATATGTGCACATGTTGTCTTTTTGTACTACAAGTGCACTTATTGGCAAGTTGCATGTGCACGTGTCATGTTTCATTTTTTATTGAAAATTATGTTGTACACCTTTACATAGATGCTTGAATTATTGTTTTCGTATGTTAATAATTCCTAAATATTGAAATTCAGCATGCACATAACACATGGCTTCCAAGCTTCGTCAGCGACCGCTTGGATTCGTCTGGTATATGCCCGTTGTCTGTTATTGGGCGGGGGAATGTGGATCCATGCGATGCCATGCGTTTCATCTGGACCCATGTCATGCACCCCCAGCCAATCGGGCCGACATCATGTGCCGCTAGGCTTCTCGATCCTAACCATGTGCTAGTGTTCACCATGGGTAGAGATGCTCAGGTGCACAAGTTTGATGGCACTAGTGAATGACGTCATATCTCGGTGTGCAATATGTGTAGTCGCGTGTTGCTTTGACATACCTGGCATGCCGACGGAAGGGAATCGTGTCAGAGGTCCAATGAACCGAGGTGGGCTCAATAATGGATAGATGGTGTGGCTGAACCTGGCAAACGGTGCATGGTTTGAGTGAAGCTAGCTAGGTGTGCATGGCTGGGGGCTAGATGGTTAATGAGTGCGCATGCGTCTTGTGTACATTGTCAAGGTTGACCGGTGAGTGTCTACTTGGCCACGCGTGCATGCATGGTGTGGGTCCAGTTGGCGTGCGGCGCACAGGACGACCCTTGGTTGCTAGGGTCCACATCCTGCGGCACAGAGTTCCGAAGCAGATGAAGGGGCAGGCCCCGCACACCGTTCATAGGCCAGACTCGTTTCCTCTCAATGGACAATGGCTCCGAGGCGGCCCTTCTCTTTTTGTGGCACATGGCCCATATATATGGACCAAAGAGCTTAGCATGTGATTGTTACCCCATTCATTGCTATGATTTCATGTGGCCGCGGTATAGATCGTGAATTCCCGATGATACTACCCTAGAAATGCGGCAACTATCCTGAATGTGGCACGCGGGATCCAAGAAAGGCCGGGACCTAGCATGCGTGTTTGGATTGTTCTCCGTTGACCCGAGAGAAAGCATCAATGAAAACGGAGGAACAGGCCCGCACTCAGTGCGCAAACCAGATGCGTTACCTCAAGGTAGCTAGATCCAAACCATGCACCCCCGCCGTCTAGACTCACGTGGCGCACCACTTACGCAGTAGACCCACACCACTTACACCGGCCCCCAAGCCAACCATTCCCCATGTAGACTCATATGCCGCACCCCGCAAAATAGCTTGGCACAAGACTTCCACCCCGATTCACCAGGTTACTACCTTGTGCACCCCTAGCCAGCATGATACACTGCATGCACCTAGAGCCACCTGGGCCCACAGGATGCACCACTACACGTACGTGTCCACAAAACGAACTAACCCATAATCAACTTTTTTTGCCAAAACAATTTAGTTACTTTTATAATGGCTTGAAAATAGCAAGGTTTCTGTTAAATAATAATTTCCTTAATTACAATAAGGTCCATTTTTTAACCACACAAAATTCCTACCTTCCCTCGAAAAAAAGAATTCTTCTCTCACAATAACGATGGCCTCACCCTATAATCTAGGAGTCGATCCAATCTCCCCACGGGGGCCAAGTTGCACGCAGTAGATATTTTTGGTTGGTTGCAAATTTCTCTCCAAAACGGTTTATTATGAGAAAATCACCTTATATTTTTTTACTTCCAAATACATGTGGCGACAAAAGCATGGGATAAAATCGTAGGAGGCACGGTTGGATCCGTGCACATGCTGTCTTTTTCTACTACAACTGGACTTGTTGGCAAATTGCATGTGCACGTGTCATGTTTCAATTTATCTTGAAAATTATGTTGTACACATTTACATAAGCGATCGAATTGTTGTTTTCATATGTTAATAATCCCTAAATATTGACCACGTGACACATGTGATAAGCAATCCAATCAATTGAAAAAAAATCCCTAAATATTGAATTTAAGCATGCACCTAGAAATTATCAGTCATAGAACCAACATCTCTTTCGTAGAGATTAAGGTACTTCCACATTAAATCTAATACAATAAATTCAAAGGATGAACTTAATACATTAACAGCACATAAGGATGTAGCCCAGGAATCCATGAAGTAGAGAGAAAAGGAGGAACAAAAGCTGGAAGAAGAAGGATCAGCCAGCAGCAGCGCCATCAACCTCCTAGCGTCACAACTCCAGGTCTCCAGCCTTGTGAACTCTAGTTTTTTTTTCTGCAGAACACGAATGGCAAAGTTGCTGTTACAGGTTAGGACTTAGTGAAAATTATAGTTATGCTGAAACAGTTATAATGACAAACAGCGTTGACATGATGGTTACAACAAGCAAACAAAACCAAGCTCACAAGTGCAACTTACTTTTAACATCAAACAATTATATTAACATGGCCACTTTAGTGCAAGATTTTACCATGCAACATAAAATTGTCATAGCAACAAAAGGAATGGCATGAAAGTATCGACAACATAATGCAAATAATTTTTAGGAAGCATGGCCATAGGAGTTATATTTTTAGTGGCAACCTTCAAGCAAAGTTGCATAGTTTTATAACAGAAAGGGCCAGGGGCCACATGACTGGAAGCATTTGTGTGTGCGTGACTACCGTGGGACCCGGATGTCAGTGGCTTACTTTGAAAACAAAAGGGGGGTTTATAGTTTAGTGGGAACCATCAAGCAAATTCGTAATGTTTTATAGCTGACAGATTTATACTTGCTGAGATGCACATAGTAAAATGATGGCATGTTGGAGGCAATAAATAAATATGCTACATGGCTTGTCATGGCATCTAATTGCACAGAATGCT